ATATGGGATGAAATCGGATAAGGATGAAATCGTTTAGGGATGAACGAGTTTAAAAGTTTTTAAGAGTTTTAGCCAAATGCTTTATAAGATAGTATAGATTATCTTTTTAATATATATGAAGTCTGATTCGTTTAGACGTTTGTGTATTAAGAGCATTTGTTTTATTTTTAAAATAAGAGCTTAAAAGCTCTAAATGTCATCTGAAATTTTAAGTGGTAAATGTATCCCTTAATACCTCCTAATCTTAATGCGTCCTCTATCAAATGGTTCATATTTTTGGGGCTAGAAGAGATTTGTTAGCAGAAACTATTTATCTTTTATACTTTTATAAAAAAAAATATCTATCTTTTATATTTTTGTACTAATTTGGGCGATTCAGATTTCAGACTTCAGACGTAAATAATCTTACTGATACAAATTTCAGACTTCAGGACCACCTCTTATAAATCAAAAGTAAAATCAGACTTTAGCATCTCTTAAAAAATAACGCCACTTTATTTATTCTTATTATTGTTATTTAAAAAAACAATGCAAAATACGAAACTTGGTGATTTTATTTAATTCAGATTTCTTAATTTTGTTACATTTTATAAATCCAATTGGTCAATTTGTAAGAATATTGCGAGTATAACAGTTAAAAAACACATTTTGCTCAAAAAGATATATAAAGATAAATCACCTTGTATCGATGATACTGATCCACCGTGACTTCTCCAGTAGCATTATTTGGTTCAAGTCCTATATAAATAAATAAATGTGAGTTGTTTATTTTTTTTAGTACCAGTTATATACTGATGCAATGTAATGAGGTGTAATACTTCATTGTGAACCGACAACAAGATATTTATGCAATTTCTTATTAAAAGAGGGAATTCGAAATGTTAGGAAACTGTGCTGTATTAGTAAGTCTTGGCGGCTGTCTTGTATATAAAGATGTCTATCAGTTGGTTTTGTATAATTCAAATGCACAAAAAACTATAAGAGTTGTGCATGTACAATAATAAGTCGTAAACTCAAATTTAAGAAACTATGCATTAATAAATATATTTAGAGTGAATTGGGGATTTGGTCCCTGTTTTTTGAACTTTTCTCTTAATTAGGTTTCATATAATATATTTATTGTGGATTTGATCCTTGTGGTATTCAATTTATCTTGACCTCGTCCCTCTAACTACCACCTCCGTTAACTCCGTCAAGTCAAGAACTATTATAACCCTTTTGCCTAAATTTTGTCTATTTTCCTATATAAAAAATAAAAACAATATTTTTATACCCATATATATATATATATATATGTGTGTGTGTGTGCACGCACACCAATATATATGTAATGATATCAAAATAAATAAAAAGAGTGTTACTGTATAATTTGATATGTTACTATTATTTTTGAAACTTAAAATTGAACAAATCTATGTATAAACTTCAACTATGTTTTCATACCCAAATAAAAAAAATACTAAAACAATAAAACTCAACCGTATTTAATACAATTAATTTTTTAGTTTAAACAAATCTATTCATAAAATAATATCTCCTTTTATTTATTTTGATATCATATTATATATATATATATATATATGTATGTGTGTATGCTGAAAAAATATTGTTTTTACTTTTTTCATAGGAAAAAGACAAAAGAATAAAAAAAAAAACAAATGATTCTTGATTTAACAAAGACATTAATGAAAAAGACGATAACTAAAACAAATTGAATACCAAAAGAACCATATCTACAACGAACATACCATAAAAAGCGTAGTTAAACAATATATCAAAAAAAAACACGGATTAATGGGTTGTTTACTAAACATTTATTTGGTAAGTGCTTATCGAATAAATTTCCTCGAATGGCCAAGAATCTTACCCGGGTAAGAGCGATGAGAAAGATGAAGAGTTTTACCCGGTAAGTGAGAATGACGACTCTTACCCAGATAAGCTTTACCCAGTAAATTATTGCATTCGATATGTTTTGATGTACTAAAATCTTACGCATCAAAATAAATTATAGTGTTAATTTCCATTAATAAGCACTTACCGGATAAACATTTAGGTAAAGGAACCCTAAATTCATGATTCAGTCTATATTTTATAATGAAATTTATACAAATGAAGACGGCATTTATTAAAAAAATAGTAAATAAAATACTCATTTCAATTCTCACCTAACAATGTTTCCAAATTTTGACCCATGTGTTTGTAAGGATATATTTGATTTTTTAAATAACATTAAATTTTTTATATTTGTAAGAATATATTCGATTTTGACCATTTTTTAAAGTAAAAATGAAATTACGTTCCAAATTCAGAATATTTTTTTTTTTTGATAGGGAGGGGGTGACCCCTCCAGATCAAGATAAATTCAGAATATTTTTGAGTTATATTGTGTTTGGTTAATCAGTGTTACCTACAATTCGACTAATCCGATAAGGCTTTAAAAGTTAACTGCCAAATAAATATCAGTAACCTTAAAAAGATTTCAACCGATGACATTTGAGAAGAAAATCCAAAATCACTCGATATTAATTAAAGTAGAATGTATGCAACATCAAATGGTGGTAAGGAATTGTGAGAAAGAGGATTAGTTACCAGGAGTCTTGATGAACTGATCCCAAATGCTTGGTCCTCTTCCATCTTTAAGAGCCATGCCTTCCACCTGATAAGCCGATGTGGCCGTTCCGAACACAAACCCTTTCGGAAAGCTTTTCCGGCTTACTTCCGTTGTGTGGGTTGAACCACCCACCACAGCCACGAAAACCAACACCACTGCGAGTATAGGCAATAGCCTTCTCATCATTTCTGCTTCTCAGGAGAGCAATGGCAACCTCTTCCTATTTATAGTTGAATTGGGTGAAGGATAATGCTATGTATAGTTTTTTTTTTTTTTTTCATAATTGTTTCGTGGAAAAAGAGAGGATAAAATTGTTAAAAAAAACAAACGGTTATGATATGACGCAAAACGTATGGACCCTTTGTTATGCCTATAACTTTTTCTAACTGAAATCCGGCATCATGACGTTTTTATTTTTAAGTAATGTTGATCTATAGATGATAAAATAATCGTTTTTTAAGACGATTTTTTGATAATTTGGTTGTTTAACCATTGACAGGTCGATACTTAGAGCATCTCCAATAGTAAAGCTATTCAAAGGTTTCTTTTTACTGTTTTCTCCTATTATTTAAAATGACCTTTTTACATTGGATTAAAAAGTTTTTCTTAAGAGGTAGACTTGGTTTGTTTTGGTAAAAAGAACTTTTTTAATCCCTCTCGTTTTATGTTCGAGATAGAAACGGCCAAACATGGCAGGTAATGCGTAGAGAATGGACCCCTAACCTTGACCCCGACCCTGTTTTATGTCCCCCGTTCTCGACCCCGCCTCTCATAATCCACAATGTGTTTGGAGGAAAATCGTCGACGGATATGGAGAACCCGTTGGGTACCCGTTTAAAATAATTATGTATTTTACAAATGAAAAGAAAAAAAATGAGTTTTAATTTATAAAACAAACAAATAAACCTTAAATTTCAAAAACATATATAATGAATTAATGACATAACCAACCACATATAATCATACCTCATGATAAGTTTAAAAGTAAAAAATATTAAGAAAAAAAGAAATTAATCAAATTATATATTAAAATATACATATGAAATTTTTTATATTGATGGAAAAGTCCTTCAAAATGAAGTCCTTTAATCGAGTGGTCTATGAACCATAACAAATTGGTCCTTGTATGGTTTGGTATTATAGTAGTGCTTAATTGCCACTATTGAACACAAAATATTTGGTATCACATTAATTATGGTATTAACTTGGAGACCATTCTTAGTAAAGAAGGAGTTTGAATTCTTTTGCTCATAAATACTTGGGTTATGAAGTCTCTTTATAGTCAAATTTGTAGGTTAATTTCATAGAACAATCTTGCAGCAACACATAAATAAACAACATGGTATCATCATTCCAATGGATTTCGGTTCGGAAAAACCATGGGTCGCATGTTGGGTTAAATATACCGCTAGTAATGCATTGTAGACGTGATTCTACACTTGTTAAAAGCAGGCATTAGTAACGATTACTGATAGGTCATTAACGATGGATTTCTCACAAGTACACATATTAAATGCACAATAAGTAACATGACTTATGTTTCAGTCAATTAAGAAAATAAAGAAGAATAAGCTAAACTTGTCTAAATTAGAGCTAGCATACAATCTACCAATACTCGATGTGCATGTTGAACCCATCAGCACAATGTTCGGATCCCTACACGTACACCATGTCGAAGATCCTCTCCCTTCTTTCCCACTTCACACCGCTTACATATATATATATATATATATATATCACCAACTGGATGGGCACTGATGCCCGACTCTTATTTCTTGATCATGGCCTCGGCAATACTTATCATACGATTATATGAAAATAAAACATGGTTAATATATATATATATATATATATATATATATGGGCCAAATCAAATGATAACTAATTAGTTTGTGGTAACCGTGAGGTCCAATCCTAACCACAAATCAATAGATAAATTAGGAAATTTATAATTTTGAATTAAAATTTTAATGCAAGGATCTTTTATGTATTTTCTCTTCTCTCCCCTCTATTCTCTCTCCGTCCCCCGGCCTTCGTCCTCCGGTGATACCACAGTGGTATCACAATGCATCTTATATGTGCTTGAATATCACACTGAGATCGTTTGTGTGGTCGATCAGAGATGTAACACAGTGGTATCACAATGCATCTTATATGTGCTTGGGTATCACACTGAGGTCGTTTGTGTGGTCGATCGGAAATGTAACACAGTAGTATCACAATGCATCTTATATGTGTTTGGGTATTACACTGTGTCTTTTGTTTAATAGAGTCAATATTTTTAGATATCACAGTGGTATCACCGGAGGACGGAGAGAGAAGAAAGGAGAGAGGAGAGAAAATACCTAAAATGTCCTTGCATTAAAATTTTAATTCAAAATTACCAAAATTATAAATTTCCTAATTTATCTATTGATTTGTGGTTGAGATTGGATCTCACAGTTACCACAAACTAGCTAGTTCTCCCTTGAAGGACACCTCTCTCTCTCTCTCTCTATATATATATGTATATGTATTGACAGCTAACATTTCCATCCATCTATAACTTGTTTTTGAAAAAAAAAGGATAACAAATCACAATGCAAATCAATCAACTAAACTATGTATTTTATAAACCAAATACTATAAACAAATTATATACAAGTATTCAAATGTTATCTTTGGGCTGACAAATTATATACAAGTATTCAAATGCATATATGAAGGTATGTATAATATGTACATGTCTATTTGATTACATTTGTATGCATGTATGTGTGTATATATAGTGAGGTTCACAGGAAAACCTTCCTAAAAATGAAAAACCGAGAGAAACGCCTTAATAATAATTCATCTGTATGGTATGCATATGTATCTACGAGTAATTGAAGATGTTTCATGGTTTTAGTGCACGGTGCATATCATGAACATGTGCATACCGGAGAAATTACTTGTATGCATGTATGCACAAGTGCATAGTGTATAGATGAATGGTGATTTGAATGTTTCTTAGTTTTTCATTTTTTATGGTTTTCCCGTGAACCTAACTCTCTCTCTCTCTCTCTATGTATGTATGTAGGTAGGTAGATAGGTAGGTAGGTAAGGATGGATGGATGGATGGATAGATGTATATATAGAATTAGGTTTTTGTAGGAAATGAAAATTAGTCGAGAATGGTATGAATGTTATATAAAAACCTGTAACACTTCCAAATCCATACATTGCATATAACACATATTTCATATATATAGAATACATGTTTTCCCACTTAGGTCCATAACACAAGAGTCTATAATGTAAATTACATAACTCAAAAATTTCAAAAGTACATTCTCTTGTATCCTAGCATCTATACTAAAAAATATAACTAATCAAGATCTTTACGTAGCTAAACACATAGGGAAGTAATTCACATAATGCTCTTTCCCTTATTCTCATTACCTGCACACATATTTTGAAAACACAAAATGAGGGTTAGACGTGAATGTCTAGTGAGGTTCCCTTTTTACGTAATGCAGGGTGAAGATCACCAAAACATTTATTTCAAAATAATTTCTTCTATATAGTGAAAGCTGAAAATCATATTCTATTTTGGTACATCGGGCCTTTGGTTCCAAAACCAGACTTTGGAATATTTTTCAATAAACAGGACCAGAGCCCCTTTGGTCTCCTTACTGAAGCTTCTGGTTCCTCGACCAGAGCCTTTGGTTGTACTAACCAGAGCTTCTGGCTCATATAATTTCTTATAATGCTTCTTGGTTAAGCATCTAACCAATAAGATAGCCTTTTTCATAAAAATAATATTTATACAGAGTTCTTACTCGACCAGAGCCTCTGGTTCAATTGTTATGACCAACCAGAGACTCTGGTTCAACGTTTGAGTCGATCAGAGCCCTTCTGGTCTATTTTTAGTAGAAAATACTAAGTATAAAAGTCTTTTTCTTAAAAATATGATTTTGACACAGAAGGTCTTATCAATAGATACAGAGCCTCTCGTCCAATTAGTTTATTAAGAACAAGCATACTTCTTAAATCAAATAACCAGAACCCTCTGGTCCAATAGTGATGACCAACCAAAGCTCCTCTGGTTCCTCATAAAAATGATCATTCTGTTCCAAAATACTTTTATCCAAAATTAATGACCATAATTCATATTTTCGCGTAACCATAACATCAATACTATTATTTCCAATAAGAACAATATCTCTGAATCCTCAAATCACAAAGACGTGAGAACTCCAATCTGTTGTAATATTAGAAGATATAATAGCAATAGTTATACCATGCACACACACAACGACCATCCTTATTACATCCATCAATCCCCTGTTTATAGCAATAGTTATCTATCACACACAACGACCATCCTTATTTCCCCTAAAATTCATATGAACTATTTCATCCAATGACAGGCTGCAGACCTTTCTGTCAGAGTGAACCTCGTTCATAGTTTTTAATCAATCATAATCTTAAAACAGGTTTATATTCAAACCTTCCAAATTATAAGAACACTCTGTTTTATATATGATTGCTCAACTCATCTAGTTCTTCCCAAACAGGGTATTGTTTCAAAACTGTTTCTAAAGAACAGTTTCTGCTTAATCTTTTCAAAACATATTCCATTCTCTAAATCATAAAATATTTCTTTTTAAAACTGTTTAGAAACAGTTTCACCATGTTCTTTATAATCTCAATTTATCCGTAACCAATAGTTTATAAAATCAAACAGCAAATTAAAACTTATAGTTTGCAAACAGCAGTAGTTCAAAAACTCACCTTAATAACATAGATTCTTCAAGAACTTTTCAACACAGTAGTTTTTCCTCAATAAATGTTCTTCACTGCCTCAAACTCTTCTTTCTCAAAGCTGACTTCTTTTTCTAAAATGATAAGATAGCATCTTATCTTTTTCTTTTATATATATGATTTCAACAAGGCGGTGAAATCTTTTATCAATATAATATTCATAGGCGGAGGAAGATAATGATTTTAAAATCATTCTTTCTTAACCATGAAGTTTTGTGGTTGAAATATATATAATAATGATATTCTAACATATAACCGCCTATACTTGTGTATTGTTTCCACATGTATGCAAAATGTCATATTACCACACATGCACACATAACCCATGCAAGTATTATCATAATTATGCATGCTATCACATAATTAATATAATAAACACATAAGGTTACCTTGACCCATGTTTGTAGAAAACCCGATTATAACATTATCTCCCCCTTAAAAGAATTCCGTCCTAGAATTCAGTCAAATAACCAAGGATATTGGGTTTTCATATCAGATTCTAGCTCCCATGTTGCTTCTGATCCCTTATGAAAATGCCACTGAACTCTTACCA